AAAATATATTGATAAAAAGACATTTTGATAATCTGTTGCATTCCAAATTATTTTATGTGAGGTTTGAGAGGAACGTATCTGTTAAAATGTTTTAAATGAAAAAAAAAATGTACACCGAATAAAATCGAACCAAAACAAGAGGATTGTTAGTAAGTCAATGGTCTAGATTATGGTCAAGTGTACTTCTAATATTACATGCATTCGAAGTAACATCCGAAAATATTAATCATAATTTCTGGGTTATATGTGCTGATAAGAATATGATTCAACATGTTCAAGAAAATAAAACATGGGTTTGGTTAGTCTAAACACTTGTCAATTATAAATGATTCAGTCTGCATCTGAATGAATGAAGATAATGTTGAATTAATTCTAAATTAGCATTTAGAAAATATCTTGAGAAATCAGCATCCTATAGAAACAACCTGTGATCAACAAATTCCTATAAACCAGACACAAATTATAAACAATCTTTTTTTTCTCAGTAATTATAATGATACTGGGTAATTCTCAAGTGCTGCAAATTTTTCAACTCAAAAATGTATTATAGTTACTTTGCAATTTTCAATTTATGTTTTAAATGCAAAAAAATTCGGAAAATATGTTATACCCGGGGAAGTTTTCAGCCATCATTGTCTATGGACTGTAGAGGAAGAGGTACAGTTTTCGTACATATAGTCGCAGTAGAAATTTTTTTGAAACAACCATCTTGCGTTTATTGTCTTTTCGCTCCGAGTTTGTAAGACTTCTTTCTTCCAGCGATAGTAAAATTTAATTATACATATCTATAAGTTATAGTTATAGATAGAACATTCCATCCCCCAGTCCCTTCTTAGCTACACATATACTATCTTAACTTTCGGACAATTTTCGTCTTACTTTGTAAATGGCCAAAGAACACAAACAATTCCATCTTCTCGGGGCCCTTTTCCTGTCAAACTACGGATAAGAACCTCAAACTCAATAATAACAAAGAACGGAAAAAACGTTAACCTCTAACACGCTTAATCTCTTAACATACTGACAATTTTCAATCTGAATATAGCAATTCATCCTTTTAAAGGAAAATGTTTAAGGTATGTACTGAAGCAAAGGAACTCAGTGCAGGGCCATGATCAGACGACAATGATCCAGCTGACTGATCTTCTTCTACACTTGTTGGTATTTAAATATGGGGTTTCAGTCTTTTAGTTGAAGTTACTGAAGCTATGAAAAATGTACATGATCAAAACTTCTAACAATTCATACAAAATAAAAGTTAGCAATTCGTATCTGAAGTTTTTTAAACATACAGAGATCAAAGACAAGTTTACGAAAGATTCATGGCGATTTGTCGTCTGCTTACTCGTGCACGACGTTTGCCAGAAACAAAGTGGGCGGTTCTGAAGGTTAATTTTAAAATACGCCTTACTTTTGTTTAAAAGATAAGAATCTCCTTCCCATTTCTCAGCTTACAGAGGCATACTTCATCAACCCTCTCAGGTACCACAGGTCCTACTGTTTCTTTTAACATATCTTAAATGGAACGTTTTGGGATGTGATATGGATCTTTCTCCTCCCGTACCTTACCCGGTCCGGTTTCTTTTGCCACCTTGAAAGGAGAAAGCTTCATCGTAAAGGTTGCTTTTAAAACAAAAACAGCATTTTAAAAAGGCCACTAATAGTCTTTATATTCCTATGTAAATACTTTTTTTCAATATTCGAATCATTCAAGTGCTATCAATAGAGAATAGGAAAATAATGTAAAAAATGTATATTACAAATAGAACATTATATTAAAAAAAACAAAAGGTCGATAAGCCTACAAAAGAAGTATATAATCCCTTCTTCCACAAATTTGGTGTATGCATAACGTTGGTTTATGATTATATCTTAATCTGGAACATCTTGACCGCAGGATTTGGTGTATCCTAGTTAAATGAATAAAAAAAATTTTATTTATTTTTATGCTATAGAACGAAAAGTGACGGTAGATCTATATTTTTTTTATCTATTGATCAATTTGAAATGATGTGATATGCCCATAAATTCCATAATGCTTTTTTTATATTTCTCTAAAGTTCCTTATTTTTTGTGTCTTGTTATAGTTACCAAAAATACCCATCGAATTGCTTCATTAAATTACAGTTATAGTGATCAAGTATTTTTGTACGAAAATAAAGAATTAATTTCCATTACATTTTGGCTTACTTTATATTACATGTTCTTAACTCAATTACTTCAACATTGTAAAACACATATTACATGTACACCCTTTCTACAGAAATGTAAAGAAAATCATTCTCGACTTTGATATACCTCCTATAAAGCAAAGAACGATATAAAATAATTTAGTTGTTTCAACTCTTTGATAGAAAATGCAGCAGTAATGATTAATCATACAATGGCTTTGTATATAATATTTAATGAAATAATATCCAGAATAAAATATAATAGAAAGGAGAAGAGAAGAGCAAAGAATATTTTTTATTACCTAGAGGTCTTAGATGACCCTCTGGAATACGGCTTATTATTTGTTGATCTACAGGTGGAAACACAAAATCTGTTCTCTGATCCTTCACAAAAACTTTGTCTTACAAACTATTACATTAAACAATTGACATAACAACACAATGTGAACGCTGCTTCGTTACTTCTCATTTTTAGTTTTGTTTTTATTTTCGCCGAAATCGTGAAGATATTGTAAAGTTAATTTTTTTTCACAGCAGAATAAAAAGATTAGCGAAGTTTACTCAGACATATTTAAAAATGCTACTGAAAATTGATAAACTCTGCTTTTATATTTCCAAATCTGATTTCTTTAAACAGACATGACTAAATATCATTACACGTGTGCCACAACAACAACAAAGACCGTGTTAATATCCGTGTTAATACGACAATGTTAAAGGATAATATTCAATTATTTGGTACGTATTGATCCGAGTATCAAAAATCTTGTCACAGCTTGTAAGAAGAATCAATTCGTCGCAACTTTTACCTTTTAACCTGCGCAATATGTTCACGTGGCGAAACCCAATGAATAGAAGCCCCGAGCCCCGTTATCAGTTCACGGGATATTATTATCGTATTTACTTTAAAATTTGTGAAACACAAAATTGAAAGCACAGGATTTTGTCATAAAATAGATAAACAAGGTTCATTCAGTAGGTTGACACTTCTGCTAAAATGAATGCCAGCCAGTCAACTTTGGTTGTTTACATTTACATACAAAATAATATATACCTTTTATAATATATCTTTTATAATTTCTCGTGATAAAGTCATTATATGCTAAGTAAACTATATACGTTATGATAATCCATTCTTTAAGTGAGAGAACCCGTTAACAAATCCTTTAAAAACATTTGTTAAAAAATGCAAATTCTTTGTGTTTGTTTGTACTTTGGGGTTTTTTTTTTTTACTATTTTCATGTAGTCATTTTCAGAGGATAAAATGAATTTATGTTTTAAACTTATATTATATTGAAAAGGGCTGTACAAATGTTAATGAGTTTATTCGGTCGGTAGTATTCATTTTAAATGTTATTATAATATAGGTAAAGAAAATACATAAAACTTAAGCTCGGATTAAGAATCGGAATTTTAGTTCAATTTCCCCATGACTTATTTTCATTCCTTTTGTGTTTGAAAACCTTTATTCAAAAAGTTTTTCCAAAAGGCATGGAAATTAAAGAAAAGATAATTATTTTGAAAACCAACTTCAAAATTGTAAAACAGTGCATCCACACTCTTCACAACGGTTACCGCTCACGCTTTGCTACTTTAATTGTAGTGGTCTGTACTGAATCAGGGGAAGTAACCGCTGCGAGAGTTTGGGTAGTATCCCTACAGCGAAAAGCAATATAGTTGAAGAGAAATTAATCTAAGATTAATGTTTTTCTTTAAAGGTTTAACAAACAAGATAGCATCATACTGAGACGACTAACCTAATTAAACTAACTTTGATCATCTCGTCCAAATACTAACATTAAGTGAGTCCCCTAATCCTATTATTCGGGGCGCCCGTGCATAAGGGAATGCCTTTCGCAAATGATGTTTTTTAATTTATCATATTTTAATGGAATACCGATTTAAATATGTAAGTTCAAAAGTGTTGTATGCAAAATTTATATAATTTGGTTGGTGATTAGTAATAGACTTACATAAGTAAATAAGTATAAATCACACGTAATCTATGATTTTTTAAATTCAATTTTATAAACATGTACTAATGATTCCGATAATATATAAATAGACTGATAAAGAGAGAGTAAAATATGTGGTATTATACGGAATTTGTTATAAAACAAATACAATTTACCTTTAATTTTGTATTTTTAGATACTACGTTGTTGCAGATTATGTCTTGAAAATATCTCAGCTATAAAAACTATGTTGTAATGAAGCATATTAATCAATTATGTGTTTTTGTGAAAGTTGTCTGGCTGGTAAGTCATCAGTGAAAATACCACTAAGCACCACATAAATGCGATGAAAATCCTTATATTAAATAGTCACAAAGATTGTAATGAGTCATTTCGTTGGAATTCTTTGTCTCCAAAAGGCCGAATTATTGTCAAAAGTTCAAGGATTTTGGCAATGCAAATGTATTAAAACATTTTATTTTCAAACTACAACGCGAAAATAAGCAATAAATTAATTGAGGAAATGTGGGAAGTAGAAAACCAGACTGGCATTTGCTACAGGTTGTAAACTCTGTGTGTTAGTAATCAAGCAAATTACGAATTTCTCAGTGCGTAGAAATGTCCGTACTCAGATCGTAAAAAGCTTTAAAGGGACTCCACTTCGTTGTTTTGACATAAATAAACTGGAAATGATTTTTCGGGTTTTTTGTTTTATTTAATGTTAGTCTAGACCAAAATAACAGAATTTTCGCTCACTTTGAGTTATTATTCTAATTGTTAAAAATGGCCCAAAAATTGAAAAGCGTTGCATCGCTTGAGAATCGGGCTAACAAAAAAAATACGATTTTCAATTTATTTCAGAGTATATTTACTAATTATATTTTGCATATCTTTCTAATCTAAATGTATCAGTTGATCTATATAAGAAATTCAAATTTAACGTTTTTATACTTTTTGGACCTTAGTGGTTTTCCTTTTATATTTAAGATTTACAGCTTTTGTAAATACAATGTATATAATGAGGACTGTCGACAAAAAACAACAACATTGTTGCATACACACTCCATTTTGTAACGATTTCTTGACACATAAATTGATTAAATATAATGTATGTTAGATTAAGAAATGTGAATTAATGTCATAGCGTTATATGCTCACACAGTATGACTCTTTTAAAGTCTTTAATTAAATCAGATTTTATGTTAATGTAAAGCTGTGTCACAGAAGTTGTAAATTTTATGTTAATTTCAAATGTACACGTACTATATTATTTTAAACATACATTGTGATCATGGAATTCACATGTTTTCTATAAGTTTAAGTTTCCGGATAGCTTTGTATTGTTCGGGAATCTCCGATAATGCTTCTATCGCTATAGCAGTTTGTGGATTTCTAGCTGAACCTTTGATCTCATGAAAGTCGACAAACTTAAAATTATCGAATTTTCTAGATGGTAACTTTTCGTCTAAATCATTCATAACATTCCATGGACCGTCACCAACACCAATGACGATGATAGAAAGAGGGAAGTTGGAGGCATCAACAATGGCTTGAATGGTTTCCTCCTCGCTGGTTACCTGTCCGTCAGCTACTATGACTAGGATGTGATACTACAGAAAGACATAATTGAACATATGTGGACACATATGATAATATTCATAAATAAACTAGTCAGCAAATGTTTACCCATTTCCAATATTCTATATAATATAACTCCAAAATAGGAAAAAATAATATAAACAGCTGATTTAGGTGAACTGTCAGATTCTTTTAAATTAATAGATATGCAACAAAATATGATTATAGCACCATTATGTTACAGATTTTTATCAGATTTCATGAAGATGATAGAATTCGGAGAGATTTTTATCTTATTTAAAGCATGTGAAATATTGGGAATGGACCCCGAAATAGAGACAAGTGGAGGTAATAATTGCTATGTGAGAAGTATCTATACTGTACATAATTATAATGATAATATTTAGCATCATAGATGACAACAAACTACGAAATGGTTATACAATCATGTCTGCTGTAAAGTGTGAGAAATATGGTCCGATATTACATATCTGTAAACAGCAGATAGTAAATCATTCTAGAACATGACATTATTTTTCATCAAATTGATGTTCTACATGAATTATTTTAAACTTAATTGACATTTTTATTTCAAAAAATATTTAATAAGAATATCCAAATGAAACGTTTCTATTGTTGTTATCAATACTTTAAATACATATAGAAAATGTGTCCCTTGTAGACCAATCCACTTTAAGTTAATGTTATTAGGCTTAGAGTTAAATAAATGACACTTTGACCATGTTGAAATAAATTAAAACAAAAACAAGGTTTTTATAACATTATAAGAGAACGTGATCATATCATTTTACCTCCTGATTTTTCCTGACAATGTCCACCGCCTTCTTGATAAGTGGAGCAAAATTTGTTGGTCCCCCCATTCTGATCTTGGGTGTTATTTCATTATAAACATCTAACACTTCTGCAAATCCATCACATTCTCCCTAGAAAATAACAAATAACTGCATGTAGTAATACATATATAGTTTACATTATCTAACATGCAAACTGGTTGCTAATACATGTATTTTAATCAGAAAATGTTTTGATTTTTTTTCATGAACTCACTATATGCATTTGTTTATCTTTGTATTTCAATTAGTATTCGTCAAATGTTGTTAATATTTGTCACGTGTACGTGAAAAAAGGTTGCGTGTAACTTCATTTTACCTGGGGTTTGAACGGAAATGTCTTTTTATCTTTACTCTTTCTGTCTCCAAAACCAAAAGCATTAATGGAGCCATCATCGTCCAAAGGTTCCAAAGTCTCCCCTAGTATACATATTACCTATATGTAAAAAACAGACAAAGTCTCCTCTAGTTTACATATATGTAAAAAACAGACAAAGTCTCCCCTAGTATGCATATTACCTATATGTAAAAAACAGACAAAGTCTCCCCTAGTATGCATATTACCTATATGTAAAAAACAGACAAAGTCTCCCCTAGTATATATTACCTATATGTAAAAAAAGACAAAAAGTCTCCCTAGTATGCATATTACCTATATGTAAAAAACAGACAAAGTCTCCCCTAGTATGCATATTACCTATATGTAAAAAACAGACAAAGTCTCCCCTAAGTATGCATATTACCTATATGTAAAAAAAACAGACAAAGTCCTCCCCTAGTATGCATATTACCTATATGTAAAAAAACAGACAAAGTCTCCCCTAGTATGCATATTACCTATATGTAAAAAAACAGACAAAGTCTCCCCTAGTATGCATATTACCTATATGTAAAAAACAGACAAAAACTCCCCATGTATACATATTACCTATATGTAAAAAAAAGACAAAGTCTCCCCTAGTATACATATTACCTATATGTAAAAAACAGACAAAGTCTCCCCTAGTATACATATTACCTATAGATGTAAAAAACAGACAACAGACAAAGTCTCCCCTAGTATGCATATTACCTTATATGTAAAAAACAGACAAAGTCTCCCCTAGTATGCATATTACCTATATGTAAAAAACAGACAAAGTCTCCTCTAGTATGCATATTACCTATATGTAAAAAACAGACAAAGTCTCCTCTAGTATACATATTACCTATATGTAAAAAAACAGACAAAGTCTCCTCTAGTATACATATTACCTATATGTAAAAAAACAGACAAAGTCTCCCCTAGTATACATATTTACCTAAATGTAAAAAAACAGACAAAGTCTCCCTAGTATGCATATTACCTATATGTAAAAAACAGACAAAGTCTCCCCTAGTATGCATATTACCTATATGTAAAAAACAGACAAAGTCTCCCCTAGTATACATATTACCTATATGTAAAAAACAGACAAAGTCTCCCCTAGTATACATATTACCTATATGTAAAAAACAGACTAATAATATATGTTATATGTTGCAGTTCGGACCGGAATATCCGTCCCGAGGGGACCCGCCTATTGGGCGGTAACGAGGGTTGCCCAGTTAACCCCCCATGGGGGGGGTTCCCGAGGGACGGATATTTAGGTCCGAACCCCAAAAATAAAGTAGATATTTTTTTCTTGCATATTTCTGCCCTATTTATTTCATATTTTTTAAAAGTTTTTCCTCAATATATATTTTTCTGGGAAAATTTAAAATCCCTTTCATTTCCCCAACTATTTTTTTTAAAAAAAGGGATGGGAATTACCCAAATTTTAAAAACAAAGGGGAAATTTACGTCATTTCCCAAGCACAAAATTTCCCTTCCCAAAACGACGTCCCTTTTACCGCGGGGTTTATTCATTTAAAATGCGCTAAAAAAGACGTTGTTTTTTTGGCAAAGCGACTCAAACTGGCACCCCCCCTCCAAAATTTAAATTTTTCCCGGGATGGGGAAAAATCACGGAAAACGCCAGTTTTGCTAAGCAAGAAAAAATAAAAATCTGTCAAAATGTTGGGGGTTTGGCCGGAAATCCCCTCCCGGAGGGGGCCCCCATTGGGCGGTAACGAGCCTTGCCAAAATTACCGCCCTTGGGGCGGGGTTTTCCCAGGGAAAGGATTTCCCATCCAACTGCAAAAATTTTGGGAAAAATTTTTTTCTTGGCCAAAAATTTTCCCTTTTTCCCCCTTTAAAAATTTTTTCCCCAAAAAAAAATTTTTTTTTAAAAAAGGTTTAACCCCCAATATGAAAATATGTTCATGGAAATTTTTAAATCATTTTTATCCCTCCTATTTTTCCCCTTAAAAAAAACGTAGAACTTTCTTACAAAAGCGTAAAGAACTTTCAACTTAAATAACAACGGCCAAATGACGTCATCCTAAGACATATTTCCCTTCTAAAACGATTGTCATTTTAACGCCGTTCATTCATAAATGGCGCTAAAATGACGTTGTTGTTTGGCACGCGACTCATCTGGCACCCCCCATGCCAGATGAAATTTCCGGCATGGGTAAAACTCACAGAAACGCCAGTCTGCTATGCAAGAAAAAGTCTCCCCTACTATACATATTACCTATATGTAAAAAACAGACAAAAACTCCCCATGTATACATATTACCTATATGTAAAAAAAAGACAAAGTCTCCCCTAGTATACATATTACCTATATTTGAACAGCCCGGTTTCCTGATTTTTACCAAATGCGGAAAATTCCCATTTTTTCCATGGTGGTCCAGATAGTCCTTTTTGAAACAAACAACAAAGTCTTAGGCATTTTATAATGAACGCCAAAATTTGAGCTTTTAAAAGAAGGGAAAATTCCCCCTTGGGATACTTTTTCCGCCGTTGTTTTTAATTTTAAGTTAACTAATTTAAGAAAAAAATTTTTGGATGAATGCTTTAACCAGTATTTGTACCTTTATGAACAATATATCTTCTTCTTTAAAAAAAAAAACACCAAAAAAACAAGTTGTTGTAATATTTTTCCCAAGGCCCAAAATGTAAACTTTTTACTATATTATCTCTTGTCAAATGTCTATGCAATTCTGAAAAAAAAACTGAATAACTTGTTTCGTTTGTAACTACAGATGAAGATCTTTATAGCTAGTGAAACTTGACGTTTAAAACAATATATTATAAGAATTTTAAATGAACATAACTTTACATCTCAATGCTGACTTATAATCTAAAACAGAGAGAAAAATAATTCCTTAAGAAGGCCAAAAAGTAAAATTGATAATATTGCACATCCGGTTTAATTGAGCCTGCTCATGGCCGGCAGTGGAAATGGTGTGTTATCATACACGCTCCCCGGCACCGGCTTAGGAAGAAAATAATATAAAAAAACATTTATTTGTCGACATTTTGAATCAAAAACATCCGAAGATGTGTTCATACTACTCAGACTTTACTCGTTCCAGATATCTGGTCTAAGTCTGATCTCTCATTATTTACATTGTTTTTTTCGGGGTGGGGATGTGGGATGGTCTTTTTTCACTTTACATACGTTTAAACATGTTATATCCGGAATATATACATTTGGTATTGTGTAATGTGTATAATATACTAAAATAATTTTTAATTATTAACTTTAACATTAATATAACGTTATGAAAAAACATGTATGCTGATAATTATTTTCCTTGTTTATTTTTCTTTTAACAAAACGTATAATCATCATTTACAAGTGCATTTGTTAGGTTAAATCTAATAAAGAAATTCTTATATCATACTGATTAGATAAATTATTATCAAATAATATAGCTTTATTTCATATAAATATCTTTACAACAAACTATGGAACGGTGGTTACGTATAGCCACCAAATGGTTGATAATAAACCTACACAAAACAAACCTCTTGGTACGGGTTGATTCTATCTTTAGAAACGTCATGCAGACTATGGCCATCAAATGTCTTTTGTCCTTGAAGTTTATTACTTATTGTATAGTCTATTCCTGCAATAGAAATCATGCTGATAATAACAGTTATCAACGTGCATTGTATCAATCTTAGAAATAGAAAGAGCATCGAAACACGAGGCTATCTGATTTGTACGAGAGGGTGTAGCCCACGAGTATAAATCAGATTGCCGAGTGTTTTGATGTTTGTATCATAGTCAAACATAAAAACATGTGCCCTGTTGTCACAATATGAAACCCCAGAAAAAAGCAACCAATCAACGAACATCTGGATATGATATTTCTATCGCTTTCCTTTTCTCTGCCGTCACAATAAGTAAACCCCAGCAAAAATGAGCCAATAAATGGGCATGCTCTGGAGCGCGGGTAACTATACGATTTAACTCTGACACATTTTCAAAGAAAGGTCTCCAAACTATGATACAAATCATTACAAAGATAATGACTTGGAATATCCTTTGACAATTGTTTTGTATTGTGTTATGTTGAGCTGTATTGTATTGTATTTCCGTTGCTGGACTGGACTGGACTGGACTGTACTGGACTGGATTGTATTGATAATTTTAATACATGTGCGATGATAAACGGAAACAAAAAAGCAGCAACATTAACAATAATAACAACACAAAACTAAAAAACATAAAACCTATATTTGAATTTTATTTAGGTTAATGTTTGTACATGATGTATTGTTTAAGTCTAATTTAACAAAACCCTATGACCTTGATGTCCATGTATTTACGTTAATTAAATGATTGATTCGATTAAACAATGGCCAACCATTTGATGCCTTATACGAGTATTTTGTCTGTGTCATACTTTGTCATGGTTCTGTATTTACATTATTTTATGATAGCACTGAAGATTACAATGGTATCGCTTCAAAATATGAAGCTGTGATAATTTACCAAATATAAGTCCACAGCTGTTTACTCCAGCTTTCTTTATGGCTTTAGTGACTTCTTCAAGCGTTTCATATCCCTTCTCGTCATCGTCACTTATAGCATCAGCAGTAGACATTGTTGAAGACTAGTTAGGTTGAGCTGAAAGACAACAAAACCGTCGGCAATTTATTGAGAAGTTTGACCAACCCGGTAAGTTATTGGGATGATCTGGGACGCTCCGGGGTGAAATTATTGTTGTGGTCACACTTACCCCGGCAGCACTACGGTAATTCCCAACTAGCCACCCAGGATGCGCTCCGGATCATCCAGACAGAGCCCAGGTGAAGCTACGGTTCATGCCGGTGTGTCCCCGGTCGTTTCCGAATGACGCCTGAAGAGCCCAGGTTGACCCAGGCAGAGCTCCGGCAGAGCCCAGGACGATCCAGGCAGAGCCCCGGTAGAATCCCGGTGGATTGAAAACGCGCGAGGATGATTACATTGATACATAACTTTTATTTAATATGATATCTATTGTTCCAGAACAGTAATTCATGATGATTTTCTAAAAATTCCTTACGCAAGACTGGATAGAAGGGAATGGGAACGGTTTTAATACAAACAAGTGCAATCATCGCAAATTGTCGTGATTCTTTTCAAATGAACCGGGATTTACCGGGGCTCTACCGGGATCAATCGTAGGTCAATCGTCATCCTCCGGGGCTCTGCCTGTATCCTCTGGAGCTCTGCCGGCATTCACCAGGGCTCTGCTAGCATTCACCGGGGCTCTTCCGTAGCTCTACCGGCTATATCTTACCCCGGATCATCCCCGGTTTGTACCGGCAGAGCTACGGTGCTTCCCTGGTGTAACCCCGGTCGTTCCCGGCAGAGCTAAGGATGAAGCCGGCAAAGCTATACTTTCCGGATCATCCCGGACCACCCCGTTGATATTAAATATTTTATTCCATCCGGGGTCGGATGCCGGATGTTCCTGGATCATCCCCGACTTTGCCGGCAGAGTTATGGATGTACTCCGAGTGTTTTCTACAGTTTTCACATTATTGAATAAAAGCGAGAAAATATTTGTTTATCTATAGATTTCCGAAAAATAAGGCGATGTCACTTACAAGTTATTTATTTCATGTTTGATCTAGAACAGCTTTAAAATGACGTGTAAGTTGATATGTATTGATGTCTGTAATGTTGTAATTGTATCACATCTTACATCATTTCTTTCTGAATAAAACATGACATAAAGATGTCCAGATGTTGTAAAATAAGATATGGGATTTAAAGTGTCTTATTTTGTTTAAAGTCAGATCGCGCAATAATGCTTTTATGCAAATTTGAAACATTTTAGATTTGATCATTACACGAGCTGATATCTCGAAATGATAAAAGGTTCATTTACCGATCATATATAATTATCAATATCTTGTTCTGTTGTTTCAAAACGACGTGATAGATAAATTACATCAAGTTAAGAGAATCCGAAAGTTCTATGAGATAATATAAAATGCTAATTGACGTATTACAAAGCAATAAATATTAAAATAATCGTACAACATGTTGTTCTTTATTTCACTTTACTGTCGGAATTATTAAACAAGAAGTATCTTTAAAAAATATACTCGGCCGAACTAAAACTGGTTCATTTGCATATCGTATTTAGGAAACATGGAAAAAAGAATCATAAGAATTATGATGTTGAGTCTAGTACGTTTAAATTTTTGAATTATTAAAATCATATGCATATGTTGGCAAATACAAAATATTTTAATAGAAACAAAATCTTAAGTCTGAAGTTATTTCTCTAAAAGTAAAGTAAAAGTTAATAAGAACTACAAACAAAACAATTTATTTCGTACTCATTTTGTTTCGTCTCAGTTCATTTTTTACCGTCATGTAATATTTTATTTTTATTATTGTTACTGTCGTTTTAGCTAAAAGAAAAACATTTAAGTTATTGAAGTTTGTTCCAATCGAAATTCTAATTGAAAGTTTGAAAATGACAATGTTTTGTTGATACGAAATACCCGAATCAACAGATTTGCAACACCTTTGGAACTAACGAAAGAAACCTAAAATCCGAAAAATAATCTAAAATACTTTGACAAACATTTATTTTTAACAAACAATTCAATCGTAAGCGGTTAAATAGATACTTCATATATATGTAAAACATATGAAAATTATAAACATTGTATATAACTGAAAATTAAATTAAATACCATATAAGTTCGTTTTTTGTGTGCTTTCCGATTTTTTCATGCACGTGATCATGAGTAAACGGGGAAAGTGGACGTACTTTGTGGTTTCGCTTATGTTTGACAACATTTATAACTTGACAGCGTAAAATAATATGCAGGATGCATGGCAATATAGAACTTATAATGTGTAGGAGAAGGCATGCTTAAACAGAACTTAAGTATCTGAAATTTAACTTGATAGTAAAAGAACTTATGAAAGTAGATAGTTCGTTTCCAGATACCATGTCAGAAAAATCCTTTATGTCATTTTACTAGTTTGACAATGGCCAATCAGATTCCGAGATTTCAGATTGTTATTTTAAAATGACCAATGAAATTTTTACATAAATTCAGTTGTTCCCTGTAAATTTAACAGGAAGTCAAACTGAAAACAGACCGGCCTTCGGCCGAAAAAATGTATAATTTGTAGAAAAAGGAATAAGACGCAAAATCAAGTGTTAGGCGTTGCAAGTACATAATGATATTTATAAAAATGTACCAAACTAAATTACATACGCAAACGAGAGAACCATTTTTTTATATTCTAAAATACACCAAATTGTTCAATAATTATAACGTATTTAAATGTAACTTACCATTTACAAGTCTATATCATTTTATCCAATCCCCTTCAGAAATGTTCTTTATAATATAATTCTAATACGTCGTAATGATATCTCGGATAAAGACGAACCTAATGTCCAATGGAAAGTTGATTGTAGACAATTGTATCATGATTAGCTACACGCACCAGCTCCCTGGAGACGTTATTTTGTATGCCATCTCATTGTAAACATACAGTAAGTACTCATGTAGACAATCAGTTTAATTATCACACTGTATCACTGTCTCAAACTGTGTCAATAAATAAAATAAAAACCCAACATTAAGTACGCTATGTAATCAATAGTAATTAAGACTTAAGGACCCTAACGAGAATGTATTCGAGACGACTGATTGAAATTCTATCCAAAAAAGAATGACGACAAAGTGGAAAAGACCCTCTGACATGACAAAAATGTAAAACGATTCTTTAGGGTTCGTAATCCTTAACGTCCCTGTAAACAAAAGACAAATTTAGGGTATGCTGACCCATGACTTTTAACGAAAGAGCAAGGATGAAATATAAACATGCCTTTACGTCCAGACTGACAATTAGTTATATCTAAAGTGACATTATGTTCATGTTTTGCTGTCATGTTGAGTCGTATTAGTAATATATTTCAAGAGATTAGTTTACACTTACGTTGTATTTATTTTAATTGTTTGTGTTTGACACAAATATGTTAAAAGTAAGTTATTTAGACTTTAATCTATGCACTTGGATGGGCGTCACTTTAAAGGAACATCATTACGTATATAACTGTCATAAGACTGCCAAGATCAATTCATTTTTGGCGTCCGCGCCGAAGTGCGACGTCTTTTATGTTGCAAAAGGGCAATGGCGTTTGTCAGTCATAAAAGCCGAAAATATTCCGATAACGAAAGGGTCAGTCGCGCTATGGTAATAAATACCGAACTGGGGAATCTGCAGGAAATGAAATACAAACATATTCAGCAATAAATTGCACTCTTTATAAATTCGTTATAAACATATTTTAAGTATAAACGTTGGCCATTTTTTTACAAATTATTATATAATAGTATTATCATTTTGAAAGTGTCTTTTCCAAAGGTTCTTTTCGGTCATTTAATAGCTGCTTTCTTTTTTAAGGTCTAACACATTTTTTTAACGTGACTATTGAAATCGACCCTTATATCCCGAATTTTTGCTGTTATAAGTTAAATCTATTTTGTGTTTATGGTGGTTTAAGTTGATTTGCCGAATACTGTGACATTTTTACAACAGAAACTTTCGTCTGCAGTTTTAACATGAGGTGTTATGCTTGGGTTGTGGTACTTTTATTTTGCCGTTTTTTTTTTTACTTAATATGAATGTAAACACACTAGTGGGTCAGACAGTATTAGTATTAACAATAGCTCCTTATTTATCACCATTGTCAAGTAGCCTTTATATCTTTGACTTGCATGAACTTCCTCATACATGACTAACAGTCTGCCATTATTTTTATGCCATTATATTTATGAATAATGTTTCAACATATCAACACGCCATGCAAATTTATTCATAATTTTTAATGTACCATTATTTTTGTTAACGCGTATAACAAAAAATCCTGAATTTGGTCCTTTTTGAAATTCATCCCAAATTTTTCATTCCAATGTGTGTTCTACTTTCAGTGCTTATCTAGGACTTGAAATATAACAATTTAAATACAGGTGTATCGCACCGCTATACGTTCGACCCCCTGTATAAGTACTGTATATATGTAAGTCCCAGTTAATAATAGAAACCATTTTTTTTTAATTTGTAATGAAGAAATGCATGCTATATTACTACTTTTATATACTGTTTAAAGGGAAGCAATTCTTTTTAACTGGTTTAATTACTGTTACTCAGGTTAATTCCCTAGTAAACAATATCGAATTTTGAAACGAGTAAATGTGTATTATGTAGGCTATAAAATGTAAGAAGATCTATTATCTTTACATCTATGAAGATATTTGAATTTCATAGGATTTTTTTATTGTATGAGGAATAAATTGCTGTTCGCTATGTTGACCCCGAGTATTTTGTAGATTTCACCGTGCCGTTTTGTACGGAATGCCGTTAGGGCCATCGCCTGTGAATGTGTTGATCTGAAACGCGATAGTCGAAAGTACGATGGTGAAAACGCGAAACCACGAAACTACGATGGTGAAAACGCGATACTACGATGATGAAATCACGAAACTACGATGATGAAAACGCGATAGTACGATGATGAAAACACGACAGTACGATAGTGAAAACGCGATAGTACGATGATGAAAACACGAAAGTACGATGATGAAAACGCGATAGTACGATGGTGAAAACGCGATAGTACGATGATGAAAACACGACAGTACGATGATGAAAACGCGAAATCACGAAATTACGATGGTGAAAACGCGAAAGTACGATGATGAAAACACGATAGTTTATCGTATTATCATCATCGTATTGTCGTATTATCGTGTTTTCGTCATCGTACTGTCGTGTTTTCATCATCGTACTGTCGCGTTTTCACCATCGTAGTATCGTGATTTCGCGTTTTCATCATCGTACTGTCGAGTATCGCGTTTCAGATCAAGCCATTCATAGGCGATGGCCCTAACGGCATTCCGTAGTTTTGGAGATAGCTATATGAAGTTTACAAAACTTTAGCGAATGTGATATGATCATCGCATAAATCGTAGGTGATCAGCACGGGTAATTATATCTTCATCTTAAATATATCTTAAAGATACGCGAAACGACCTTCCTGCTACAGTGTTTTCCTCCTTGGAAATTGGTCCATTAGTTGGTTCCCTCTCAGATTTATACCCGGTCTCTTAAATGACAGTCATTTTATCAATAAACATTGTTTTGTTGACACTTGAAATTCTGTAACAAAAATATATAGAGGATATTTGTTTGTTTGTGTGTAAGATGAAATTTTATTTCATCGAGTGGGCTTTAAAAACAGTATTCTCACGAGTGGCTACGCCACTCGTGAGAATACTGTTTTGAAAGTTCACGACATGAAATAAAATTACATCTGACACAACAAACAAACAAATTTTCTTTTTACTTTATGCTTAAAAACAAGTTAACACGAAATTTCCTTGATATTAACTTTAATATTAAAATCTGTATTCCCCACTGGTAGCCTCTTTTATGTACATGTATTAGTCGAATTTCTCATAAAATACAAGAAGTCTTGGACTGCAAAATAAGTTCGACAATCAACTTTAAATGGCGATGATATTATTGAGTGAGGGAGCGTATTACTAAATACCGTATTCCGGTATATACCGGGCAAGGCGCTTGAATCATAAAATGCTGAAATCTTGCCTTTTTACCCAACGGAATGAACTTTAATAGGTCTAATTCATCTTTTCACACCGATTTAAGTATGATAATGAATTAAAAATGTAAAAATCGGCAAAAAACGGTATTTGTCTATTTTGTGAGCATGATTTCTGCAACTGCTCCAATCTTGTATTGAGTTAAATCCGATATTATTCATTTTATTAAAAAAATATGAATGATCGCTTGTTTTTATATCAATATTTCTGTTACTAACTGCGAATGTACATGTATATGAGACCTGGCTCTGTAGGAGCACATTTGTCTCGGAGCACATTTGTCTTACGTAAGACCGATGCGGTCGCATTTGTCCGACATGAGACAAATGGGACCTAAAATGTCTACCCAAAAACTCATTTGTGTGACAAATGTGTTCCGATCAAGTTTTTTAAGGGAAAGAAAGCACATTTGTCTCTTGTGTTTTTAAGGGACAAGAAAGCACATTTGTCTCATGTCATTTTTTATGAATTATTTGTCACATATTTCCCCACGGCAGAAATTCTTTTTATGAATCGAGGTTCGCCGTTTTACCTCAAGTGTAATCATCAATAAGTTTGCTTATGCTTTCTTTATGAAAATCTACAGTAAACTATTAATTTTAATATATCTTATTCAAGAAATTGATTGACTTAACCTGAAGGCGTAGTACAGCGATGGCACGATGGTACGTTGATGAAAACGCGATGGTGCGATGGTGAAAACACAATGGTACGAACGTGAAACGACGATTGTACGATAGTGAAACAACGATTGTACGATGGTGAAACAACGAAGGCTCGATGATGAAAACGTGGTGATACTATGGTGAATGACGATGTTACGATGGTGAAAGTACGATGCTACGATAAGATGAGTCTGCGAAGTCATGATAGTGAAAACGCGATATTATTTTCTCAAACGTGTCATCGTGTTTTAATCATCGTACCATCTCAATTTCACCTTTGTATCATTGTGCATAGCTTTTCAGGGAGACAAAATGTTACTTATGTCCAAACGGAACACCGTAATCGGTTTATATTGAATGATACAATATCTTGACTCGTTTCGCATCTCGCCGAAATCTCGCGTCTCGCTTCGCGTCCCGTTCGTCGACGCGAGGCAAGAAATTGATTCCAGGTCATATACCGTTAAGTAGTATTTCCTTTATAGTCTACATAAAATTACTTAAAGACCCATCATGTCTGACAAATGCTTTTATTTGTATCCCTCAAAAGCTTTTTATTTTTGGTATACTTTTTTAGCTCCAAAAAGTTACTCATTGGCTATTTCCTGAAGCATTTTTCATCTGCTGTTTCTTTTTTTTTTTTTTTTTTTTTTGCAGTTTGTACAGTTGAAGTGATTTAGAATTTTCTGTATCAAAGTTGTTTTACATTTTGCTACTTTTATGACGCATTATTTCACATTTATCGCGAATTTCTTTGGGTTACAAACATCTAACTTACTCAGAAATCATTATTTGAATATTAATAAATTCATACTTGTCCTATCTAAAGAAGTAAAAATTTATTTATTTCTGAAATCTCTTGGTACTTGATACTTCGACATTGCGAGATCTCCTGTTACAATATCGTGCCTCGCTTCGTGTCTCATCGGAATGTCGCGTCTCGTCCGATTCTGAGTGGCCCGATATTCCATAATTATGGCATTACCCGGATTATTTTAGGAACTCATGCATGTTTAAGTGCCTTTTCAATGGCGAATCTGAAAGCCGCAATTCTTGTAAAATGACGACTTTTTATTTGAAAACGAAATACGTGTGTTATGGTCTTCTTATTTTCTTCATGGATCATTTAAGGGCCTTCGTGGTCCGTATCGCGTAGCCACGGAAAAGCTTTCGTGTGCGCACTTTATAAAAAAGAAAATCTTATGTCCCCTTTATGCCACCGTAGATACTACCTTGTTTTTGCTAAGAATATTTTTAGTGCCATAAATCATCTATAAAACTTTAAGCATTGAAAATAGACGTATCTCAATTGATAACGATAAGAATAGACTTGCTTCATATGTGTTTAGGTTCTGGATGC